AACAAGGGTGCATTTAACATATTTGTCTGTGTCTGGAAAGATCTCTGGGCTAAAGAATTGTCCTTTCAAATGCCTCCCCCAGTTCCTTGTACCAAAGAGTTACAATAAAATACATTTGGTAATTCTCAATGGCTTCCCAAGTGCCATACAAAAAGTTCTGAGAAGTTCATTCAATACAGTTCTCAGAAAATCCCAAGATTAAAGTTTCTAAATGGCACAGGGCAGGCCTACCATATCCAGTGAGCCCAGAGACTGCTATCATCACCAAATCCTACGTACAAGAATTATACAAATTCAACAAACTAAGGCTTACCACATTTAACATCTTCAGGACACAGTTCTTAAAACACACAAAGCACATTCACATTTGGTTAATTCTAGTCTCTAAGTGCCCACAGTTTAATCTTAAATCTCCCCAAGATGACGGTGAAAATCCCTCATGATAAAAAGCCACCAACACCACAAACACTAGAAGAATAGAGGCCATCCTGGGTTCACCTTGTTCTGCTGAAAATTGCTAAGACTTGGCCAAAAACTGAACAGCACAGGATACAAATTAGACCAGCATCATGGTATTAATAAGATCACAAACCCAGTGATACAGCCCTCAACTCAGACTCTGTTAATGTGCCCACATTCAGCATCTTTTAAATATTATTTTGTTCACAAAATAAGAAGAAAACATTTAAATGTCTGTTCGGAAGTCACTGTAGTGGAATTGCTTTTAGTTTTAAAAATTAATTTCAATGTAAAAAGGAAAACTGACACAAATTTTTACTGTAGAAGAAAGTCTCACCACTTTCTCAAATAAAATAAAAAAATCATTATGGGAGAAGATGTGTGCCAGTTAAGATTTCTAACTTTCTCTTGCAAGTCCCCTTTTCAGGCTCAGGATTAGTCGCTATATTTGTACCTCTGATCTTAGGAACAGACAATCAAATCTTTACTGAGAGCTACTATTCAGGTACAGCTTTATTTCCTGTATACACGTAACGATAGTTTCATTTGCTATTGTCAAATATTAGAAATTGTGCTAACCTCAATGCCAGAGAGAAATGAAGAGTCAGACATATACCAAAAAATGCACAATGCATTTAGGCATTAATTTCATCTTTTAAAAAAGTATTGGGGGGTGGAGCCAAGGTGGTAAAAAAAAGGCAGCAACTTGCCTGTGCTCTCCCCAAAACTCCTCTGAACACCTTTAAATAATGCCATAAAACAATTCCTAGAGCATCAGAACCCACAAAAGGACAGGGTGAAATAATTTTCCAGCCAAAGACAACTTAGAAGGTCAGCAGGAAAGGTCCGTCGCACCTGGGGGAGAGTGGAGCACAGTCTACACCAGCATAGACCCAGCCCCAGCAAAGCAGGAACAAGAGTCACAAGTCACTTAAGCAGGGAACTCTCAGCCCACAGACAGTAAGGGGCTGAATAACTAGTCAGGAGATTACAGTGGTCTCTTTGCTAGCACTGAGGCAGGACTCTGTTGCTTTGCCCATACTCAGATCCCGGTCATGGTGCTGGGTGGCAGTCCCTGGGCAAGGAGGAGCACTAGGAAACCAGAGCCTGCGACCACTGTGGAGCAAGGACCCTTGCCACAGTTCCAGGGCAGAAAAGTGTGCTTGTGATCATGCACAGAACAAAGCACAGGCCAGGAGAGCAGTAAACATCTCTCCTTAAATCATACCACCTTGAAAGAATTGGAAAACTTATCTCTGAAAACAGCTGCACAAAACCTCTGAAGCTTGGGACAATGCACCCTCCACCCTGGAAGCAGAACCCTACTTTAACAAAGATTTAAAAGTCAAAAGAAAATGAGCAAACAACAGAAGAAAATTCTGACCACAGAAAGTTATTATGGTGACAAGAAAGATCAAAATACACATGCATAAGAAGACAACAAAGTGAAAGCTCCTATATCCAAAACCTCCAAGAAAAATATGAATTGGTCTCAGGCCATGGGATAGCTCAAAAAGGATTTTAAAAATCAAGTAAGTGAAGTAGAGGAAAAACTGGGAAGAGAAGTGAGAGTGATGCAAGAAAATCATGAAAAACAAGCTAACAGGTTGGTAAAAGAGACATAAAAAAATACTGAAGAAAATAACACCTTATGGCAAAGAATTGGAAATTGAGGGGATGCTCATCAATTGGGGAATGGCTGAACAAGTTGTGGTACATGAACGTAATGGAAATGATGAGCAAGTGGACTTCAGAAAAACCTAGAAAGATTTGTATGGACTGATACTGAGTGAAATGAGCAATACCAGGAGAACACCGTACATAGTAACAGCCACATTGTGCGATGATTAACTTTGATAGACTTAGCCCTTCTCAGCAAAGCAAGGATCTAAGATATCTCCAAAAGTCTCATGATGGAAAATCCTATCCATATCCAAAGAAAGAACTATGGAGTTTGAATGCAGATAGAAGCATACTATTTGCTCTTTTTTTTCCCTTCTGTTTTGTTTTGTTTCCACTCTCTTGTGGTTCTTCCTATTGGTTCTAATTCTTCTTGACAATATGATTAATGTAAAAATATGTCTAAATAGGAATGTATATGTAAGAATTTTCTCATTATTAGGCTAATTAGAAGGAGTAGATATAAACAGTGGGCACAGGTGTGAACTGAATATGAAGGGATGATATGTAAAAAAAAATAAAATTGAGAGGAATGTCCTGTGAGAAAAAGAAAGGGAGAGGTAGAATGGGGTAAATCATGTGACATAAAAGAGGCAAGAAAAAGATTTTACAGTGGAAGGGAAAGTGGTTGATGTGAGGGAGTATGAATGAAACTTACTCTCATCAGAACTGGCTCAAAGAGGGAATAACATACACGCTCAATTGGGTACAGAAATGTACCTTATCCTACAGGAAAGTAAGAGGGGAAGTGGATAAGGGTGACAGTGATAAAAGGGAGGGTGGATTGGAGGAGGCAATGGTCAGAAGCAAAACACTTTTGAGGAAGGTCAGCACGAAAGGAGAGAGAGAACAGAATAAACAGGGTAGGGGGAGATACGATAGAGTGAAATACAGTTAGCAATACTAATTGTGAAAAAAATGTAAACCAAGTTTCTCTGATAAAGGCCTCATTTCTACAGAGTGCTGAGTTAAAATTATAAAAATAAGAGCCATTCTCCAACTGAGAAATGATCAAAAGATATAAACAGTTTACAGATGAAGTAATCAAAGCTATGTATAAGCATATGAAAAAATGCTGTAACTCACTAATGATTGGAGAAATGCAAATTAAAGCAATTCTGAGGTACTATCTCATACCTATTAGATTGGCTAATAGGACAGGAAAGGAAAATGACAAAGTTAGCAGGGATGTGGGAAAAATGAGACATTTATGTACTGTTGGTGGACTTGTGAAATGATTCAATCATTCTGGAGAGCAATTTGGAACTATGCCTAAAGGACTATGAAACCATGCACACCCTTTGACCTAGTAATACTACTACTAGGTCTGTAACTCAAAAGAGACAAAAAAAAATGGAAAAGGACCTATGTGTTCAAAAGTACTTATAGCCTCTTTTTCTGCTGGCAAAGAATTAGAAATTGAGGGGATGACCATCAACTGGGAAATGGCTGAACAAATTTCGATATGTGATTATAATGGAATACTACTGTGCTGTAAGAAGTGATGAGCAGCATGCTCTCAGGAAAACCTGCAAAGACTTACATGAGCTGATGCAGAGTGAAATGTACTGCGTACAAAGTAACAGCAATATCGTAGGATGATCAGCTGTGAATGACTGTGCTATTCTCAGCAATATAATGATCCAAGACAACTCTGAAGGACTTATGATGAAAAATGCTATCCATTTCCAGAAAAAGAACTGTGTCTGAATACAGATTGAAGCATATTTTTTTAACTTTATTCTTCTTGAAAAAAATGTTTTTGGGTCTATGTTTTCTTTCACAACATGACTATTATGGAAATGTTTTGCATGACTGTACATGTATAACCTATATCAAATTGTTTGCCTTCTTGGGTAAGGGGATGGGGAAGGAGGAAGGGAGAGAATCTGGAACTCAAAGTTTTAAGAACAAATGTTAAAAATTGTTTTTACATGTAATCGGGAGAAAATAAAATACTAAATATGTTGGAGAAAAAAAGTACTGAAATTTGTTATAAATTTATGTAAGACAAGAATATTTTAAGATTTTTAATATTTAATCATTTTTGCCCCAAGGTAAAACCTTTCATCTGACTAGCCTAACTTCAAACAGGGAAGTATTTATATAATTAGATAACAAAACAATCTACATAATAAGTGGATCCATCACTTACACCCCCCAAATATTTGATAACCATTACCAATGTCTGAAACCAAATCTAGTTTTAGGAAAAAGGTTTTGATTTTAGCTATGAACTAGAAACAGAAAGCAAGTCAGACCACTGGCATAACTAGTCCCAAACTATACAGAATTTAGATTAAAATCAGTAATTCCAATTCAATGAAAGGAAAAATAGTTACAAAGCACTATATGTTTTTATTTTTCTTTTACTACTCTAAAAAAGACTGCAGTTTGAAACTTCTTTGTAGTCAAATGACTACTAACTCATGCCTATCACTAAATTATGACTACCAAAAAAAGACAGAAAAACAAGTTTTCATGCTTAAGAACATAATTTATTGTTATATTATTACTAAAAAAAATTTCAGTGTCAAGTTACAGAATAAGCAGCAAACTTAAGTGTTAGATCTTCAACAATTCAACACTTCCTTTCTGAAGGAAGCTATTTAACAGGAATCATAACATTTGCCATAAATTCAATTCATAATTGCCATAAGAGATATTATAATTGTATACTATGCTGCAATTGCACATTTAAATTATATTCCAGAGACAGATCAAGATTCATTTAATTCTAAGAGCTAACTGATTATTCAAAATGCTTTGTATATTACATCTTATCCATTATAATCCTGCTTTACATTAAATGGTAATTTAAGACATTCAACAAAAATAGAAAAATATTTTTAATCTCTTACCTTGGCTGTGAGGTCGGATCGTTCCTGTAATTTGTATGTTTTGGAGAAAAGAAGTCTGATTATCCAGAGAATTAGAATTCCTTCCAAAATAAGGTGGTAGGCAGGAGCCTGCAAGTCCAAACAACAAAACTGTAACTACATTAATTTCTGAAATAAAATAAAATTTATTATTCTCAGCTGTACTAATGATTTTCATCAATTTGTGTGTTTCCTTAATTTTATTAATTTGTAAGTAAAATATGCAAAATCAGGAGGTTGAACAAGATAACCTCTAAGGTTCCCAGGTCTAGATCGACAGTACTACAAACACTTTAATTTGGGATCTCAAGACTTCTCAATTTCAAGACCCCACAAAAGGAGGGAGAAAAAGATTATTTTAGACACATCTCCCTGATGCTGGAACCATTTCCCTGGTTATTTTCATTAGAAATTTCCATTTACTCCCTATATTTCTCAATTCCGTTCCCCTGAACTAGTGGTAATGCTCTACCACCCTGATCCCCAACTCTTTCAGAGAAAAGCATAAAATGGAACACTTTTCTTTGGTGAAAAGATTACCCAAAAGAGAAGGTTATGGCTATTCAGGAAAGTTAGCAAGTCAAAGACAAAGAAACCACTGTCCTAAGTCTCCACAATCGTTTTGTTGACGTACAAAGACCTTAACTGTACTGCATGAAAAGACACGAATCACAATCCGGATCAACATCAACAACTTTCAAGTATGAAAGCTTACATATAAAATACAGTGACTACTATTTTGAATCTTGATTAAATTCCTTCACCACTGAACAAATATTTGAAATGATCCTATCTATGAAGAATCTCAATACGGTACAAGGTAAACTTTCTGGTTGTTTGACACATACCTTTAAATCAATCTACCAAAAAGTACTTATTAAATTATCTTCTAAATGCTACAAAATGCCACTGTGCTAGGCTCTTGTCTTGAGAACCACTGTATGTGCATGTATGTATGTATGTATGTATGTGTGTATGTATGTATATATAAAACAGGTACAAGGGTTGATGGGAGGGAACAGTGCTACAGTGCAAAGACATGAAATGGAGTTATAGGCAATAGTAACATTGCATTTAGGGAGTAATGAATGCGTAAGAAGGTTGGAAAGAGACCAATAGGGCCCTGTTGTAAAGGTCTCTCAATACCAGAGAAATTCATATTTGCTTCTAAAGGCAAAGGGAGTCACTGGAGTATGAACAGGAAAAGCACTTTGGCAGCTGTATGAAATGCAGTAGGTTGGGATCAATATGAAGGCTAGGCAATAGTCTAGACAAGAGGTACTAAGTGCCTGAAGTAAAGTTGTGGATGTACAGGAGATAAGAGGAGTCAAGGATGACCCAAGGTTGTTAACCTTAGTGACTAGAAGGATGATGGTATCCTCAGATAAGGAGATAAGAGTTTGTGGGGAATATACTATTTTTACTATTTTGGCCATGTCAAATTTTGAGATGCCTAAAGAGACATCTTAAACTCAATATGTCTAAAACTGAAATTTTTCATCTCAAATCCTCTACAACTGAAATTTTTCATCTTAAACCCTCCCCTCTTCCAAACTTCCCTGTTTCCATCAAGGGTGTTAGAATCCTTCCATCACAGGTTTGTAATCTCAACATTATCTTGGACTCCTGGTTCTCCCTCACTTTACATATTTCAATGAGTTGCCAAATATCACCATTTCTATCTTCATAGCATCTTACATTCTGACCTTATTTCTAGTCACACAGTTATCACATTATTACGCCTTGCCTAGATTACTCCAACAACCTCCTAGTTGGGTTCCCCTCTTCAGGTATCTCATTATTTCAACCCATCACACACACTGCTGCCAATGCAATTTTCCTTAAGCTCGTATCTGACCAATGACCACTTACTTAACCAATGCCAGTGGCTTTTAATCTCCTGTAGGGTCAAATATAAACTCCTGTTCAGCTTTTAAAGTCCTACACAACCTAGGCCTAGCTTCTTTTTAGCTTCACTGGTTTCTCCTTCCTCTCACACTCTGCAGTCCAACCAAATTGGATCTTTCTACAAAGGGATGGGCCTTTGCTCCAGATGTCCCCCACTCCTTTATTTCCAGCTCATGAAGTCACTACCTTCTAGGCATCATTTGCATGAAATATTTCCCAATCCACCCTTCCTCCCAAAATATTTATTAATTTTATGGTTGTGCTGCATGTTTTTATGTGTACTTGTCTTCTCCATTAGAATAGGAATTGTTTCTTTCTTTGTACTTGTGTTTCCAGCGCCTAGCACAGTGCCTGATTCACAGTAGGTTCTTAATAAATACTTGTTGATTGATATGTCTAATAGGTAGTTTGCAGAATTAGAACCCAGGAGAGAAACTAAGGCTAAATATGTAGATCTGGGAGTCATCTACATAAAGAAAATTAAACCTATGGAAACTGATTAAATCACCATATAAGTGTGTAGTAATTTAGAAAAAAAATAAGAGAAACAAAAAAACAAATTAGAGTGTGGGGAAAGAGAAGAAAATTTCTATTTCTTCTGCTCACATACTGTGCTTTATATACTAAACTTCCTTTAAAAGTAAAGTCAAAATTTTCATTCTACATGCCAAGTTCATGTAAGTAATAGACTAGAATGGAAAGGGGAAACAAAAAACCCTCTCCCTAAGCTGCTCTATAAATTAGTCTGCTACAACCTAATTCACTTTGGGGAACAGGATATAGCTACCTACTGAGGGCTATTAAATTACTCAACAACTTTAAAATTCCCAGACTATCATTTCTAGGTGCAGATTTCTGAAAATTAGTGTGAATCCCAACCCAAAGAAAAAAGAGGCAAGCAACAAGTCCAGTGAGTCAATAAACAATCTGGATGTAGAACCAGACATCAAACACTCTTCTACCATTAGGGAAATTACATTCCCTCTACCAACTTCCTTCACTCATACCAAAGATCATAGGAGGTACACTGTCAAACCAAACCTTTAATGAAAGTGATCAAAGGGCATATAATGGAGAAACAATTATTTTCCCCAAATTGTAGTTCATTATATTCTTACTATTGGCATATACATACATACCAATCTATTTAAAATTAATGATTAAATTAAAGTAGGTCACCACTAAAGTAAGGGGAAGGTCACATTCCTGGCTTGTTTTGCAAGAGACTAGATAAAATACCTATTTTTCTCAACAGGCAGAAGAATTTTCTTTCACACCTGAAACAAAAATTCATAAAACTAAAGTACAATCTTAGAATCAGTTATCTAGTTTTCAGTATTCTTCACATTTCTCTAGTTTAAAAAACAAAAACACAAAAGCTTATTTTTTCCACTTCCTAAAAAATAAAACCTTGTCTTCCTTACTTCAAAATCTCAAATTATCCTCCTTTTCTATGTCTCCAAAAAGAAATTCCCGTTCATACCATCATTCTTTTCCAATTTTGGCTCCACCTCTAAAGATCTTCTTTACCCTGAAACCCATTTCCTAGTTATCCTACCTCCCCCACATCCTGCCAATCTTTTCGTTTTCCATTTTATCACTGGTTACATCCCCTCAAAGAGCAAAACCAGTCTTCTCAGAGTATCTTCCAAATCTAGCTTTTACTAGATCTCGTCCCCTGAATCCTTAATTTCTTCCTTGGGTAAGTTTTTTTTTTTTTGTCTTCGAATCTCGAATGCCTAGCACAGTACCTCTGCAAAAGGCAAGCAATAAATAACAACGCTCTTAGGATTGAACTGATTTCCAGACCACCCCTCTAGCTCAATTCCCTTAAGATCCACACGCTCTCCTTCCTCCTGCCCCCGCCTTCACTACACCCCAATTGGCTGAAAGGCGTCCGACTCTGCTGCCAACCTCGCTCTTTGGTTAGTTTCCTTGTCAGTTTCCAAGACCCTCCGCCTCGGACCTCATGCAAAGACACAGTTCAAAGTGCCACAAAAGGGCTGGGTGGCAGAAGTAACGTTCCTCGCGCCTTCCTTTTTTTTAACCCAAGATCCACGTATACCTCCTGGCAGCATCTGCTGGGGTGTCGGAATCAGAGGGGCTCACCTCATACAATGCCTGAACCATCTCCACCAACACCCACTGCTCTCCAACCATCGCCATCGCCGACGGGAGGGAACTTCCGGGATTGTGGAGCGCCATGACGTAGTGGGGCGCATAGCGAAGCGCGCCGGGCGGGGCCTCTGAGTGCCGACGCCTTGGTTCAGCTTCTCCTGGAAAGACCCTGGGCTGTTTGAGCAATCATGGGGCGCCCCGACCTGGAGAAACATGTTCGGATTGCGCTGCAGTCGCTTCTCCCTCCCAGCTTTAGGAAAACCAGGTAAGCGAAGGGCAAGCAGGCTCACACAGATCACGTCTTTATATTTGGATGTGTACCTTCAGTAAGTTCACCGCACGGTTATTTTAAGGTTATTTATCCAGGAAGAAAATAGACTTTCTTGACGTCTTCAAAAGAAGCATTCTAATCTTAAACCCAGAGGAAGGTGTTTTTGTTTTGTTTTGCTTTAACGCCTAAAAACGCAGCATTACAAATTTCCCCAAACATTATTATTATGTTTTGGTTCTCTCCCCACCCCTCATTGTTTTAGGCAAGGTTTGCAGACACCCTTAGCATGGAGGATACCTCTTAGGTTGTGCTGTCATTTCACATGCCATTTCCCTGGTGAAGGAACCTCAGATATCTGCTCCTGCAGACCTTGCCCAAATGCCCTTTCCAGTAATCCAGATGTTCCAGCCTTGCAGGGAGACTTCCAGTGATAAGGAACTCTGCCCAGTAAGGTAACTCACACCATTTCTCGATAGCTGTAATTTTTAAGAATTGCTTTCCTAGGCTGAGCCAAAATCTGCTCAGCCGTAATTTTCCCCCCTTGGTCCTAGTTCTGCTGTCTGGGACCAATCTCCCCCTACCCTCACCCTTCTACCCAGAATAAAAACAATTCTTATTAGTACTTAAGTTATGAAAACCTCATTTCATGCAACTCTATAAGATAGGTGCTACAAATATTATTACAATTTTACATATGAAGAAAAGGCTCAGAGAGGTTAAAAGAATGAATCACAATGGCAGTAAATTTTGAAGGCCTTTTTGACACCATCCAAAATTCTCCACCAAACCCATTGCCTGTCTAAAGAAACCTTAAATCCCTGTTCTAGATTACTCTCTGTTGCAGGATGTGGATTGTATGCAGAGACTCTTTGTAGGGAATATATGTTATCAGCAGGGTTAGACCAGTATCTGTCTCAACGTGAGTAGTATCTTGTAGTGGAAATACCAGTCAGTTAATAAATATTAAGTACTGGCTGTGTGCCAGGCATTTAAGCACAGGTGATATAAAAAAGGCAAAAGACAGTCCCTGCTCTTAAGGAGCCCACAGTCTAGTGAGGGAAACCACATGCAAACCACCAAGAACAAACAAATTCTATTAAGGATAAAATTGGAAATAACCAAGAAAGAGAAGGCACAAAATAAAGGGGGAAATTGGGAAAGACTTCCACCTAATTAATATTCCTGTTAGTGTTTTTATTAAACAGTGGAGTTTTAGCTTGGATAGTGTAACACAGAACATTATTTTACCATTTAGGTAGTAGGACCCTTTAGGCCATGGAAAGCAGAAGTTGCTGCTTAATCTCGCCCTAGACCTCTTTCCTCCTAAATCTAAACAATAATGAAATGTACTCTTGCATAGCTTAAGCACAGCCTATACCTCCAATGCAAATGGATAAGAAAACTTGCAATATAATGGCTTTAGATAATTATGTTTATACCAGAAACCAGGACACCTGGTCTGGTTTGTGTGATCCCTGACCTGTAATGATGGGGTGCTCGGATGCTTGTGCTTATACTTTTGCCCCAAAAATGCCTCCCGAGTCTCAGAAACACTATCTCTGACAACGACTCCCCAGCCCAAGGACACTGTGCCTAGCAGTATTCATGCATGGGCCTCAGCACGACCCTTATCTGGCTGCTCAGGCCCCAGCCCTCAGATCATATCTCTGGAAGCCTGCATTGTGAGAAAGTTTTTTTCCTTTGTTGCAGAGCATTATCATGTCTAGAGAGAGGGAGAGGGGTGTCCTTGACCAGCCCAAAAACTCTTCCTCTTGCCAGACTTCAAAGATCCATCCCCCTCCCTGTCTTGTCCCTATATAAACCTTAGCTTGACCCCTGATGGGGGCTGCTTGATTTGGATGTGAATTATTAGCAGCCACGCGCTAGTAAAATCCACAGTTTAAATTAGTCTGGGTCTAACTCGCTAGTTTCTTGGTATAACAATAGAAAGAAGCAGGAGATGGATATAAGGAGGGAGAAGTTCCCTGCCAGAAGGAAAGACTGAGGTAATGCTTTAAGTCTGAAGATAAGAAGGTCTTTTTGAGATAAACTATAAGGAGGCCAGAATAACTGGATTACATATTAATGGGAGTGGGAGGTAAGGGAAGATTGGGAAAGTGTTAGGGGGATGTTGGGAAAGACATTGAATGTCAAATAGAATTTTACTTTTAATTCTGAAGATGATAGGGAGACACTGGAGTTTATTGATGAGGAGGAGGGAGAGATGACATAGTAAAACCTGAAAAATTGCTGTATTATTTATTAATTATTGATTGAGAACTGTATCTAATCACTGGAATCAGTACTTAGGATTTGATTTAATTTGATTTAAAAGACAATTTGACTGTATAACATTAGAGTCTGTAAGATGGTTTAATTTCTTTACAAGAGTAACTTCCCTATTTTTCTGGACTCTTACACCAGATTTAGATGGGGAGATGGGTGATGAATCTCTGGAGTCGTAAGGTGTCCTGCCTGGCCATAAGTCAAGAGTTTCTTAACACTGGACTTTCCAGAGAATGTTGATTAACTCTACTGTCAGGAGTCTTGTAAATCCCCTCCTTTAAATCAGGTTAAATGTAAGCTCACCTATGCCTTTACCAACTGTATCAAAGAGTGCTCTGTCTGCTCTAAATCATCCCTGGTCATTGAGGTCTCAGGATGTCAAGTTATTGCAACTACTAGCTTTGCTAAATAAATTGATGATGTTTGGAGACTTTGTGCTTTCATTTCTGTTCATTGCAGATTTTTATCAGGACAGTTGGTGACCCCAGATGGGACCTGAGTGAGGGCCTCCAACCCTGGAACTTTCTCTCAGAAGAACTTTTGGAGAACTGTCCTGGAAGCCTCAAGCTTAATTTTCTCCAGCAAAGGTAAGCTTCCGTTGTGTTGGGAATAATTTAATTCTCTTTTGGAAGGCCATTTTCAGGTGAAAGATACCTTAAGTTTCAGTTTTAATTAGTCTCCATTTTTCCCATTGATATACTTTAGCAAAAAGTCTGGAGGCACAGAGCTTTAACCAGCTCTTTTGTCTAGCAGTAACTTAGTTTTCACTTAAATGGAAACTAGGGAGGAACATTTTGCTAAAGTAACCTGTTTCTGTTTGGGTCTTAAAATTGATTGTGTGCATTAGATTTTTTAGCAGAAATTTCAAAGAAAAAGCAAAATTCTTGAAAAAAAGGGTGAGGACTGAAGAAAAATTTCTAACACCAACAATTTCTTCTTTACAGTGGCAGCTGGCCAAAAAGCAGGACAGCCTGTCAGCTGTAATTTCTCCTTTTTTTTTCCATATTGGAGAAATTAAGAGTTGGCCATTGAACAACCTCACCTAAAACAAATGAACAAGCCCACTGCTGCGTAAAGGACCCACTTCTGTAAGTGTCTTATCTGTGCCTTGTGTTGATCTGTGCCAGCAAGTGTTTCCAAGTGTTTGTGTGGTCCTGATAACTCAACCTAGCTTCTTCTCTTGGTCTGATCAGCTAGGAGAAGACGATTCTAAAAAGGTGAAACTTTCAAAAGTCTTCAGAATAAAAGACAAGTCTGTCTTTTCTCTATATTTTCAATGCCAGCCATGTTGGAAGTAGCAGAGATGAAAGACAGGTACAAAAACTAATTAGCAACTAAATTTATTATTTCTACTAAAAATTTCTAAATGATGACGTTAATGTTTCTATGAGTATTTTGATGAGTTTTGGGGGTACCTGTAAAATTTGTAAAATCTGATGAAAACAAAAATTGGTAGATATCTGTTAGAGGGATTCCGTGAAGTTCAGAGAAGTGTTAAGATAAAAGAACTTAGGAAAATGGAACAGGAAAAAATAAGAGTAAAATTTCTGTGAGTTTAAAAATTCCACAACTCACAACTTAAAATGAAATAGGTTTGCTATGTAACATTGAAGTAATGTGTTGGAGAATTAAAGATTGAGATTAGATCACTATTAACTGCTCGAGTCTTAGCACTCAGCAAGAGCAATCACTTCCAATTTTTGATCAGCAGAATACTTCCAAAGCAGGCATTGATTCTGAAGTTTTGGGGTGCCACCCATAGAACTGGTTTTGACTTTAGTGTATAATACTAGTTCTTTAAAAGGTATACTTAAGGGGCAGCTGGGTGGTTCAGTGGATAGAGCGCCGGCCCTGGATTCAGGAGGACCTGAGTTCAAATCCGGCCTCAGACACATAACATTTATTAGCTGTGTGACTCTGGGCAAGTCGCTTAACCCCATTGCCTAGCCAAATATAAAAAAAAAAAAGGTATACTTAAAAACTGTACTGAAAGGAAATGATAAGTTTATTACCGGATGGAAATGTGTTTTGTTTTGTTTTTTAAGAAGGCAGAATAGGAAAAATTTTAAAACGTGTTCAGTTCCCAAAAGAATAAAAGTAAGTAAAGATGAAATTTGTTTGCCCTTCCATTGCTTACTGCTTTTAAACAACCAAACTTAAGGCATGTATATTGGGACTCCTGGACTGAAGGTTTATCCCAAAGTGCTCCCAGAGAGAGAAAGGCTTGTTTTAAAATCCAGAAGCAACTGAAAAGTAAGTGAAATTTAATGGGTTTTTCCCCCCTATTATAGCTATAATAAGTTAGGATAAGAAAACAAAAGAAATGGACTTAGCCTTTAAGCTTCAACAACTTAAAAGGAAATAGAGAAAAGGTTATATCTTGAGTCCTTCAGAAAACTGCAGTTGCCATCAGATAACTGTTTTTTTTTAGTAGTGCAATTCCTGTTACCTCTGAAAATATTCCTGTTAGTGTTTTTAATAAAAATTGACACTTTCAATCAAGACATTTTTATAATTCAAAACAAAGAATCTTTCTAATACAACTCGTTGACCATTTGACAATGAGGCAAATTTTATTATAGATCATGATGGATAATAATCTGCCTTACTACATTTGTTTTAACTAGAACCAATTGTGACATTCACGACTGTGTTGCAGTAGTTGTAATTTCACTATAACCTTTCAGTTTGAGGTATTTTTTAAAAATTAAAGCTTAAGCTAATTGATGATAGTGGGCTTTGAAATTTTGAAAATTTGAAATCCTGGTAATTTATGGCCTTTGTGAAAATTGAAATTTTAAATTGTTAATATTAGTAATTATATAGTTATATTTGATAGATGAATCCAAAAATTAAATAATTAGCATGATAAGGATTTCTCTTAATTCAGAATCATTAGAAAATTAACTCCTCTTTTCATGAGACAAACCTAAAAACTCCTACAATAACAGGTTTTGGAAAATATCACAAACTTGTTAAAAGAAGGGGGCAATTAGAAACAAAGATCTTTCACAGTCAAAGAAAAAGTGATTATATTTACACATTTAAATACCAGTGCCAAAATGAAAGTTGCTTTTATACAAATATGCTATACAGTATTACAATAGACTGTAAATTGAAGGAGTTGGGTTCTGGCTGATCCCCCTGGCCATTGATAAGTAAACTCCTTTGTGAAAAGGATGGATGAATGATTTTCTAACATAAAAGAGCTTAACTTTGAGAAGGAGATAGGTGACTTTTACTCCAAAGTTATCCTGCTTACTAAAAGCTGTGACAAAATACAATGAGGAACTAGGAGGGACCTTAAACTTTGCAGTTGAGCTGAGTGAGTTGTATTTGGGTTTATTTGACTATTACTTATAAAAGCTTTGTAACTGTAACCAGTTGTAATTGCTCAAAAGGCCTCAAAGAAATTGGAATGAACTATGTATTTGTAAGCCTTTAAGAACCTAAAAATGTGTAATAAAAACTTGTACTAAAGAGTAAAGGAAGTTCACTAGAATGAAGATTAAGTCTATAGACAGTCTTGGATATGATTGGGAAATAAAGACTAGAGGATAAGTACTGCATGCCTCTCTTCCCCACTTGATATAAGATTACAAAAGAAATGTCTTAAGACTTTGAAGGGAAGGTTACCAAATACATATTAACTAACTGACTGATAAAGAAAATATTGTTTCTTTGGCCTGGCTTAAATAGTTACACTAAAGGCCTTTGTAAAAAAAAAAATTAGTAAGTGGCTTTTCCTGCCAGGGTTACAACCAAAAAGCCTGTAGGTAAGGAAAGATGTGCCCTCTATCTGCCCCCTTAAAGTGTACTAGTAGAGTTAAATTAGGTGGGAAAAGGAGAATTGATTTGGCTTTTTGGTGATTTAAAGAAATAAAGAAATGGTTACAGGGAGCTGAGAGTGCCATCATGAATTTTTGAACATGAGGTAGCAGAAAAGCAGCAAGATCTTGGAAACATTGAAATTTAAACATTGTTATTAGGAATTATAAATCTAGATTTGATCTTGTCAAAATTTTGTTCTGAAACTACATGATAATTAAGGTATATTAGAAAATTTAATCAGTTTTCTATATATGTAAATAGGGATAATAAATAATAGTCCCCACTTCCCAGAGTTGTGGAAGAAATAAAAATGATTCTAAAGTGTTTAGCTTAGTGAGCATTATAGAAATGTTAACTATTTTTACTGGGTTTTGGACTAAAGTGACATATTGAAGGAAATAAATGTTTTTCTAAGAAGGATAAGTTAAGATTTTCTATAACTACATAGATGAAATATAAGAAGTTTGCTGTTATGTTTTAAAAATTTTTTAAAAACCCTGATATTCTTTAGGCTTCTAGTTTTTGTTGTATTGTGGATTTTGGGAGAATATCAGGAATGTGATTAGAAATGTGAATTCCCTTTTATTTAGGAGAATAAGCTTTTAATTACATACTGTTACGTGAAATTTTTCAAAATGATTGTGAAGTACTATTAGAGAGGCTACTTCCCTATCGAGTAATTAAAATGAATGTGATAAGTCTTTGAAAAATTGTAATAATGAAGTGAAGTGCCTTTTGCCTTAAAATGTAGAATTCTTATGATTTAATAAGAGGTTTGAGGACAGCCCCCCCCTCAACAACAGCTGTGATCTAAATTTTATAATTGTGTTTGAGTAGTTTTAATATTTCGTTGACCATGTGGAAGAACTTATATTGTAAAAACTAAAACAGTGAATGGTTACTTTGAAATCAAATAAATTGTTGTCATTTTGGCTAAAATAAGTTTTGTATCTTATGAATTGTACTAGATTGTTTAAAAAATATTAAATGTTCAGTGGGTTATATTTTCCTCTAAACTAGCCTCCTAAAGGGAAAAAAACTTCAGTCTTACTATTTGCAGCTGCCATGTAATGTAAGGTTGCAAGTGGTTCAAGTAATAACTAAGAAATCAAAATCTAAACATTCTAAAGTACTACAGAAAATAGGCCTCTAAAATTCCTTAACGTAATCTTTAAGGATTAGCAAAAAAAAGCCTGGCATGTGGTAAGCAGTATATAAATGAACTAATCTTACTTCTTTAATTGACTTTAAGTATGCCATACTGAATATCTCTATACAGGGTTTTAGATGTCATTGGATGTGATTAGCAAAATACCAAAAGAGACAGGATAAGTGACTTTCTTTGCGAGATAATTTAAAAATGCATTCCATTGAATTATGTCATCTGAGTAGTAAAAAGTTTTATGTTTTAAATACATGATGTTGGGTATTTGAAATTTTCCCTTGAGAAAGCTGAGAAAAGTTAAGGCAAATTACTTCCCCTTTTAATCTGAATGCTATTAGATTACAAATGTATCTAATATAATATTACCATATGTTTGAAAACTGGCCATTGCTTAATGGAGTATATTTTGTTTTATATCAGAAAATAATAATAATAACTCACTGTTAGGAGAAGAGAGTAGCCATATCCTTTTAAGAGATCCTTGTTGTCTGTGAGGTTCCTTGCCTATTCAGACTAGTTCATAAGGTCTTACCAGCACTGCTGACAGTGTGTTGTGAAACTCTGTGGTGCTACAATTTAGTAACTAGGGCCTCTCTTAGCCAAAGTGGAAAAATTTGCAAGTTGAGCTTTAAATAATAGTACAAGAGAAGTCTTTGCATTTTCAAAATAATAAATTAAAAAACAAGTTGAAGTTAAAGTAATCTAGATATCTTAAAATTTTCTCATTCCATTTCTAAATTCATATATATTTCAAATTCAAACATACTATTAAAAATATTTGCTTACTGTAATAGATTCCTTGCTTTATTATTTTGAAAATGCAAAGACTTCTTTTGGATTATGAAATAATATATGCAATATGCATGATTTCTCAAGCTTATATTAAAAAAGTTTTTTGGAAAGGATACCATTTCTGTGCTGAATAAAATGGATAGATCACATAGAGAGTTCTCTTTGAGGCATAATAAAATAACTATAGTAAAAAAATGTAGACTTTATGTAGAAACCAAATATCATGTATTTAAACATACACTTTTCTATTTCTACAATAAACATTAATGTAAAAAAAACCCTTTAAATAATAAATGTCTCATTTAAGATCATTTGGAAAATCATGAAATTGTATTTGTTAATATTTAGTATGAGTGAAGCTACATTTTTGAACCAACTATTCACTTTATATGTGAACTATATATGAAAGTCCAGAATGTAATTATTCTTGTATGAAAGACCAATAGAATGTTCTGATACTAAGACATGAGAAAAATAATAACTTAGCCCTAATCTGTTATTAGTGAAATTTTGCTGCTTGAGGAAAAGTTACTTCAGATTTGATGTGCTGCTATTCTAAGTTTTGATTTCAGGTATAAGTGCCTGATATTTCTTCTCATAAGGCCACTAGTCCATTATTCAAGGGAAATGCTACGTGTTCCTGCAGTCTGAGGGCTGTGGATGTCTGTCTCTGGGAAAGTCAAAAGAACAATCTTGTGAAGGTAAAGGTAGGAGTCTCTTGACTTTGTTTCCCCATCTTGGTAAGCGAGACATTTTCCCTCCTAGGTAACCCTGAACCTGGCTGTGATACCCTGTGGCTCATAATAACCCTTTCTGTGTGATTGTGTTGACTATTACCTGAAATCAAACAGAATTAAGAAACAACAGTATCGATACTGTTATGTCCCTCCCTTTTTCTCACATAGCAAATGCCATTGATAAAGGCAACTAGCTCATTTTTTCATTATAATAAACATGAGAGAAACTGTATTGGTGAGTTTTGACTGAATAATATATGCTAGTATATATACTACTATAGTAGTAGTAAGTAGTAGTAATAATAATCATGCTTTAAATTGTCATTTGAATTACAAGTAATAGAGACCGTCCTTACAATTGATAGAGTATTTAGTTTATTGGAGATTCATACTGCAGCATCCTTTCATCATGTTGATATCAGTACTACATCTTTCATTATGTTGATATGATCATTTATTTTAATATCCTCCTGAGTGGGGAATGAATTGGAATCAGATTTAGATAAAGGTAAATGCAAAACTTTTGGAAATTAAATGGAGCACACAACTTTGAGGAGCAATAAGATACATGACTTTCATGGAATATACAGGGAATATATAATTTTCGTGGAAAATAGGACTATTGACCTATTTTCATTTGGTGCTTAAATTCTCTGAAGTTTCAGGTGTCAGTTCCTGATTTTATGTTCTATGATTCACCATCTCAACTGGTTACTGCATTGTATTAAGATCTGTTTTGCAAAGGATTATAGCAGAAACACCAAGGAACCTCCGTAAGTGACCAGCCCTTCCATGAAGACCCACCTTCAGATCTGCCATTAATTGAGACCTACTCCATATGTCTTTCCAGGGACCATATGTATACCTGAGACATATGAAACTCAACTAGAAATTAGATGGACATTGGGAGTGGGCTACTAGGGTACAAAAGTACTTGATCATTGTTTTACCTGAAAGGCATGTAAATTCTACCTTTCCCATATACCATTTTCTCTGCAAGGCCAGCTTATTGAAGGGGACTGCTCCCAATGGATTTGTCAGATCCATAGGTGGCAAAGCTTTTAGTCTGTAGCACCAAAGCACTCCAAAGTCATGGGAACCTATTTCTGTCTAACTATCACAACATGCAAATGGAGAAAATATGAGAGTTTTATCATCTATTGCTAGGCCATTTGTAACAGTTAACCAGCACCAGTAATAAATCTCTCATGCCTGGCTTTGTATAAAATATTGAATTCTGTAATTATTGCTTTCCATTATTAATTTAATTCCAAAGGATGTGGATTATGCCCAATTTGATATCAACCTGGCCTATAGATGGTAATTCAGTGGAAACATGGCTCCTTAGAATCAGAGGGGGGAATGTGAAATTGCTGTATTATTTATTATATTGATTAAGAATTAAGTTTAATGACTGGAATCAGTACTTAGGAATTAATTTGATTTAAAAGATAGTTTGACTACTTAAAATTGAAGTAAGATGGTTTGACTTCTTTATATGAATAACTTCCCTGTTTTTCTAGGCTACAACTTGGACTCTTGCTCCAGATGGGAATGAGGGGTCTTATGACCCTGGAGTCATAAGACATTCTACCTGGTCAAAAGTGAAGAGTTGTTTAACACTGGACTTTCCAAAGAATGTTGATTAACTCTGTTGTCATAAGTCTTGGAAGTCCCCTCTTATAAATCAGGTTAAATGTAAGTCCATCTGTACCTTTACCAACTGTATCAAAGACTGCTCTGTCTGCTCTAATGCATCCCTGGCCACTGAGGGGCTCTGGATATTAAGTTATTTGCAACTACTAGTCTTGCTAAATAGCTTGAAGACTTTGTGCCTCCGTTTCTGTTCATTACAGATTTTTATCAGGACAGACCTGTGCTTTTGTGACAGCCAAATGGAGGATGGATTGAAGTAAGGAGAGACTTGTGGCAGGGACACCAACCAGCAGGCTATTGCAAACAGGCCAGGCAGGAAGTAATGAAGAGGATTCCCCAGGGCAGTTGCCAAAGAGAAAAGGGGGCACAAAAGAGAGGTACATCAGAGATGTCCCATTGGTGAAATCCTTCGACCTTGGCAGTACATTAGAATCTAATTCTAGAGTCTAATAACTTCACAGAACAAATCCCTTTAATAAAAGGGATTTGTTCGGTGAAACCTGGACTCAGTCAAAAGGCCACAGCCAGGTTCTCCACCCCAGGATTAGATACTTGTGTTTTGTAAAGGGTTGGGCAGTGGAAAGAGGATGAAGGTAATACTTGCTTTTGAGACAGAAAACCCTGGGTGGTTCTTATCTGTCTCTGTCACAAGCTGTGTGACCTTAGGCAACTGTTGTTTTGTGATGGTTTTTCTTTCCATTTACACTGTTATACTCATTATGTGTATTATTTTCCTGGTTTATTTCACTTCATATCAGTTGGGTCTTTCCATTGCTCTCCCTTTCAACATGTTTGTCATTTCTCACAGCACAATAATCTTCAATATTGTTTGTTTGGCTGTTCCCCAGTGAAGGGACATTTATTCCTAGTATTTTTCTACCACAAAAAAGTCCTGCTAAAAATATTTTGGTGAATGTGGAGCCCTTTTTGTCAGTAGCTTCCTTTGGGTATATATGCTTGCCAGTGGAATCTCTGTGGGAAAGATATGGACATTTTAATCACTTTATTTGCATAATTCCAAATAGCTTTCCATAATGACTGTATTAATTCACAATTCTACCAAAAATGCATTGTGTGTCTCAACCCACTCCAAAATTGACTGTTTATTTCCTCTCTAGACATCAGTTACCTCATTTATAAAGTAAGGGAGATCAGATAGATGATCTTTGAAGTCCCATCATCTCTAAGGCTTTAATTCCTTAAACTTTGCTCTTCTCCTAGTGTTCTTATTTCTGGTAATGTTGCCACTGTCTTCTCATGATCTAAACCTCAAAATTGTATACTAGCTGTGTGACCTTGGGCAAAAGATTTAACCTCTCTGGTCTAAAGTTTCCTTATCTGTAAAATGAGGCCTACATGATTTATGATTTTCTTTGTTATTACAACTCAGATGATCCAGTAATTAAAAATTTTTTTTTTTCTGAACTCCCCTTACCTCTATCTCCCACACACATCTGCTTAGTCATAATTGGTTAGAGAACCCATAAAAGTAAGGAACACATAAGCATTTATTTATTAAATACTTTTTTATTATATTGACAGAAATATGTAAGACCAGAAGCTATTACCCATTACACAGATGGTCAAAGAATTTGAAAAAACCCTTACAGAAACACTTAGAAGAATTGCAACCTATCAATGACCATATGCCTTAGATCATTGGTAACAATAGAAATGCACATCAAAATAATCCTCAAATTTTACTTTACATCCAGCAAATTTGCAAAAATGACAAAAGAAGGAAACAGTCAAATTTGGACGGTTGTGATAGACATGAATATGTTTTTGGTAGTGCTGTGAATTAACAAAACTATTCTGAAAAGCTGTTTGGAATTTTGCAAATAAAGTGACAAAAATACTCGTATTCATTCAAGCAGAGATTCCATGGGTAGGCGTATACTCAAGTAGGTTACTGACAAAAAAGGCTCCATATTTACCAAAATATTTTTAGCAGGACTTTTTGTGGACTGGAATGAAAGGAGATCGGAAGCTAATTCAAACTCTTGCTACTCCCTCCCAAAGTAATAGTTCCAACCACTTTGGTTACTATAGTAGGCCTTGCCTGCTTTGAGTGGGTCTAGTGCTTCAGCTCCAGGTTTTATATTGAAATGAAGCACTTATAGGCCATTTAAGAGTTAACAGAAAGAGATTTACTTAGCCTAGAATGGAAAAAAATATTCAGCAAATACATAGCCACTTTTGCCTCTGTGCCAAATGAAATGGCCCTTTCTTGGTCCTCATCCTTTTTGACCTTTCTGTAGCATTAGGGAATAGTTAAAAAAACAAAATAAAAACAGTGATACGTAAATGTAATGTAATATTATTGTGCCTAGGAAAAGGCAAACATGTCGATTACAGAGTGCATGGAAATATTCAACTGATGCAAAGTCAAAGCCAGGAAAACAATATACATAATGACTATGCAATATAAATGGAAGAGTGATATTAGATAATGATAAAGATCCAGTTTGTCTATCAAAAAAAAAGGTATGAAAAAACATTGCATATAATATTAAATTATTTCTGTGTATTGATCATTTTTAATGAATTTCTTTTCTCTTTTCCTTTTTAAAAAAATTATAAGGAATAAGGCAAGGGCAGAGGGCAAGATATGGGGAAATCTAGATGATATTAAAAAATATATAACTGAGAAAATCAAATTATTCCATTTCTTATTCGATTCTGTTTTTGTAATTAGTTCTATTTGTGGCTGATTTTATTTTGTATTTTCTATAACTACCTAAGTACCTTTCTTTGACACTGAGTTAAGAACTTCACAGGTTCAGAAGTTCAGCCTTCTTCTCTAAGCTAAGTTGTCCCATAAATCACGTTAATTCAAAGAAATGTGTTATCTCTACACATCTCACTGCCCCCACCCTGGCACAATTGAGGGTGATCTGTTATTTTACTAATGAACCTTGCTTACCCATGTACAATTAAGGGAAATCTGTTATCTCACAAACAAGCCTTGTAAGATGTAAGTGGGCTACATAAATCAATCAGCATTCCTTAAGGACAAGAAGGAGTTGTTACTAGCCACACATTCCCAATTTCTAGCCAATCACGTTCCCCTCATCTAAGATGTTAGCAATTGTATTGTTTTCTTTAGGCTTTGTAACCAATTTCCTGCATATGAAGTCCTATTCTTTGTTCTGTGCTTTCCAGAAAAACTGTGAAAAGGCTAGCTAGCCTCACCTTGTAGTCTTAGCTTTTCTCTTTTTTGTTTTTTGGCTAGGCAATTGGGGTTAAGTGACTTGCCCAGGATCACACAGCTAGTAAGTGTTATGTGTCTGAGGCTGGACTTGAAATCAGGTCCTCCTGAATCCAGCACTGGTGCGCTATCCACTGTGCCACCTAGCTGCCCCTTGGACTTACCTTTTCTGAGGAAGCTAAGATCCTATTTATTGGTAAAATCACTTTACTAGTAAATTGATTGTGCTCAGAGCTTTGTGCTTCAGTTTACCGTAATTTTGATCACAATATAGCAATAAAAATCTGTTTTAAAAAATAAATGCTTCTTGATTATGGTGATGTTTTTTCTGGGTCAAAGTGAAGCCCAGATCTGTCATTTCATTCATGGGAGGAGCTCTCAGGGAAGCTCATAGACTGTCAACTTCTTGATAACTAATGGTATTTGAAAGTTTTCTGAGACACTGAAAAGTTAATTGCACATGCTCACATAGCTGAAAAGCAAGACTTAAATTCTGTTCTTCTTGACTCAAAGGCCAGCTCTCTAATCAATATACCGCACTGCCATGATGATGCTAGTGACAACCTTTGAGTCTCATACTAGTAAAAACTAATATGTGAATGAGTGCCAACTTGAAAGGCACAGTCTGCTGCCACCATACCATCAAGTACTGAAGGGACTCCAGTAAGCTGATCTTCAGGTTGGCTCAGGAATACCAATATTAAGCATATCAATTTGTTCAAATACAAAAAATCAATTTACTTTTTAAAAAATGAACATTGAACTTTTTGAGCATGTTTTCAGTCCATGGCAGGATTTAGAAGAGCTGGTTCCTGGGAATAATCCCTGACAGAATGGATGTCTGACCTAAGCCAACATGGAAGATTCTTTAACCTCCTTACATCTTATAAGCTTTGGGAGTACCACATAATTCCCCAACCCCAATAGAATTGGATCAGAAGCTAAAACAGTCTCCTGCTCCCCACTCCCAAAGTATTAGGTCCAACTACTCTGGCTATTCTGATTAGATCTGATAGGTCTGGTGCTTCAGATCCAGGTTTGGAAGGAAATGAAGCCCGATAACCATTTAAGAGTTAATAAAAAGAAGTTTACTTAGCCATGGTGTGGAAAAAAATGTTCAGCAAATATATAATCTTTGTTGTCTCTATGCCAAATCTAATAACCCTTTCTTGGTCCTATCAATTTTTTACCTCTGATGCATTTTACCACAAATGCTGGAAAACCTCTGCTGGAAAATTCTCATCTTGAATACTCTTTTCTCTCAGCATTTTCATGACATTATTCTCTTGATTCTTTCCTGTCTGATTGCTCCTTCTCAGTCTTCTTTGCTAGATCCATTGTAGGAAGTTCTGGGGGAACAAAGACAAAGAGCAGTCCCTACTCTCAAGGAGCTTATAGTCTAAGGGGGGGAGACAAAATGCAAATATCAGGATAAATTAGAAATAATTATTGTCGCATCTTATTCTTTCTATCTTTACATCATCTCTGTACCCTTCTCCACTCACCCAGTTGCTACCCTAGTTCAGACCTTCATCTCCTCATACTTTGAGTTGCAATAGGTTGATCTCTCTTCAAGTCCCTCTCCGATCCCATTCTCCACTAGGCTGCCAAAGTGATTTTCTAAAAGTGCAAGTTTGACCTTGTCATTTCACTACTCAGTAAGCTCCCTTTTCCCTCGAGAATCAAATATAAAATAAATTGACTCTGTATCGTTGTTCATTGATTCTATTTACAATTAATAGTTTTTGTCCTGTGACTGCCTAGGTCATGGCTCTGTCTGTGAACTTAATTCAGAAATTCATCTGGCCTGTAATGAGTTAAGTTTACAGATCCAGTTCTCTTGCTAATGATTATACTATTCTTGCCTCATGGAAATCTGTCATCCTTGAGTGAAGCAGTCAGGCAATGGGAGTCTGGTCTAGTATCTTTGCACCATCCTATCCTGCAAGAACGTTTGGTTTGCTATTCAAAAGAAAACTAGCCCACTATGTCTGACCTTGCAGGTGGACTCAAACAATGAATTTTTCTTAGTCACAGGAAGGAAGGAGGGGGTTGTTGCTAGCCCTTCATTCCCAGTTTCCAGTATTGTCACCTGTGCCTCCATATTGTACCCAATTATGTCTTTATGCTCATGATGCTGCCAACACTATAATCAACCATAACTTTTTCCCAGCCTATGAAGTCCTATTCTTTGTTCTGTACTCTCCAAAAATTACAAAGGGGGAGCTATTTTGCTCAGGGTCTTTGGCTTAAACTGAGGCAATCCATTGACCCCTTTGTTATCAGATTTTTCCCCTGTTGATAAGCTTATCTTCCTCTGAGAATATGTGCCCAAGTCTGCCTTTGTTGAATTTCACTTGCAGCAAATCCTTAGCTTTCACAACCCAGCCCCTTTCTGTATTTCTAGTCTTCTTATGCTTTAGTCTCCTCCATGAACTCTATGATCCAAGTACACCTACACTGACTTAATTGCCATTCTTGGCACACAGAGATCCATCTCCTTATTTCATACTTTTGCGATGGCTGTTTGTGGTACCTGAAATGCTCTTCTTCTTTGGAGCCCTTTCCAATACCCCTTGCTACTATTTCCTTTGCTATGAGATTACCTTCTATCTACTCTGTATATATTTACATATTGTGTCTCCTACTAGAACATGACCTTGTATACCTTGTAGGAATAGTGTTTTTGCCTTTCTTTTTATTCCTACCTCTATCACCATGGTTGGTGCATAGTAAGGGCTTAATTAAAGCTGTTGATTCTATGACCAGTTCACAGCTTTATCAGTGGTCTTTTGGTCTGTCTTTCCAAGTGCCTCCAACATTGATTGTTCTCATCTTTAAATCTTTGCCAATTTTATATTTGTGAGGTGAAATCTCAGAGTTCTTTTGATTTATATTTCTCTCATTATTAGTGACTGAAAAATCTTTCATGTAGTTATTAGTAATATGCATTCTTTTTTTTTTGCTTTTTTTTTTTTTTTTTGCTTTTTAGGCAATTGGGGTTAAGTGACTTGCCCAGGGTCACACAGCTAGTAAGTGTCAAGTGTTTGGTCTGAGGCCGGATTTGAACTCAGGCCCTCCTGACTTCGGGGCCAGTGCTCTATCCACTGCGCCACCTAGCTGCCCCTAGTAATATGCATTCTTT